GATCATACTGTGACCAGAAAGTGGCGGGAGATGTAGCTCGGTGGTAGAGTATTTGCCTAGCATGCTCAAGGCCCTGGGTTTGCTGCCCAGCACTACAAACAAAGAAACCTATGATGAATGGAAAACCTGAGAAACAACCCATGGAAAAAGAACAAAGGTAAGAATGATCACTTCCACCAGGCACACTCAACCTGGGAAAAAATTGTCATAAAATATACACTGGAGAACTTGAATATAGAATATAAGACCAATTAAAAATCCCAAGGAAAAAAATAAATCCATATTTTAAGTGACCAAACCATTTCAACAGACACATCCTAAATAAAATATAAGAATGGCAAATAATCACATGAAAAGATGCCTAACATTGGTGCTCATTAGAGAAATCCAAGCAACAACAGTGAAACACCACTACTCATCTATGGGAATAGATATAAGCAAGGCCACAGAGCCAGAGCTGCCTAGGATACAAAGGAAGTGCAACCTCACACACTGCTTGGAGAAATGTAAAATAGAAAAATCACTTTGGAAAAGTTTGGCAGTTACAGTCAAACAATCCCACACCTAAGTATTTACCAAAGGAAGAGGAAAGCACATGTCCATACTAAGACTTGGGCATGTGTGTTCCTAACAGGCTTTTGTTTGTAAAAACCAAAGCCTGAAAATAACCCATTGTTCACCAACAGATGAATGAGCAAATGTTGTTTATCTAGACAATAGAATGCAACTCAACAATTAAAAAGGAGTGAACTGTATGCACCAAACTCAATGAGTCTCCGAATAGCTATACTGAGGGAAAGAAGCCGGACAAGAAGCACAGGCTTTGGTATCCTGTTGGTACCACCCTTGACAATGTGCTGACAAGTAGACAGCGGTAGAAAGCAGAGGGGCCTGGGGACAGGGGACTGAAAGGGGTCACAAGGGGACATGAGAAAATAAACGCTTGGGTATAGTGGATATTTTACTAGCTTGATGGTAGGGATTGTTTCACAGGTATGGGTGTCTGTGTGTGTGTAGGTCTGTCTGTTTTTTGAATAACAAATTTATGATTCCTCTAGCCTGTAAGTCTCTAAGCTTCTGTGAATTTACATGTGTTGTAAATATGCATAAATACAGTCTTACTTTTGTTTGTGTCTTAGTTACTTTTCTTGTATCTAAGAAGTAAAACCCGACACCCACGAGTTAAAGGTGATGCGTGGGCGGGGTTCACAGCGTGTAGAGGTTTCGGTCCACAGTCAGCCGGCTCCAAGGCGGGGAGGCACGGCAGGAAAGAAACAGTCCACAGCAAGGCAGCAGGCAGTAAAGCTGAAGCAGCAGCCTTCCTTTCCCTTCTATCTCATCCAGGCTACAAGCCTATTGGTTGGTGCCACCCACACCCAGAGTGAGCTTCCCATCATCCACACCCAGAGCTACTCTAAACTGATCAGTGGACTAATCCAGTACCACACACTCTTAATCCCAGCATCACATCCTTAACCCATGTTCACACAGCCTCTGGAAAGCCCCACCTACGACAGCATGAGGCTTTGGGGAGCATCTAGACACAAGCCGTAACAGGTAATCTTCTAAGATATAAAGTACTCCCAGCTAGACATGAATGGGTGTGAATTGTTGATAAAACATTGCATTTAATTTTATGTAACAAGGTCATTAAATATAATTTCTGAGGGAAGAAACTTATCTAATTGTATACTATAAATATGTGTGTTCCTTTATGTCAGTTTGACCTCCATAAAGCTGTCAGAAGAAAGGGGAAGGAGAGAAGAAAAAGGAGAAGGAGGAGTGGAAAGGAAAAGAGAAGGATGAAGAGGAAGAGAGGAGGAGCTCACTTTGTCTCAGCTAAGACAGGCTGTCCCTGCCGAGGGGTCAAGGACACGAACTTCCTAGAAATGCAGCCCAGGGGCGCCGCTGCCACTCCAGCCAGACCTCCAGCAGTGCTCTTTGCCCTGCTTCTAACCTGTGGAGTTTCCTCCTCGCTGGCCCAAACCACCCCTCTCAGAGGCAGGGGAGAATTCATTCCCGCAGCCTCCACCGCTTCCCAACCCCCAGGCGGCCCGGACCTGACTCAGCAGGAGTCTGGAAGGAAGAGAGCTGCAAACAGGGGGCCATCTGGATTCGTCTTCCCAGCAGCACAGGGTCACCGGCACAGGAAGTGGGGATCCGTGCCTCCTGGGCACAGTTACACAAACCAAACTGGCACCCAGCACTGCCTTTGTTCTGAGGCTTTTCCAAAGCCAAGCCTCCTGCGCGCAATTCGGTGTGCTGTCCCCGTGGGGAGCCGTGCGGTGGCTTCCTGGTCCGTCCCATACAATGAGCTCATTCCAGTGAGGACTCTGTGGTCAGCGGACCACCGGGCTAGCGAGTGAGCTGCAACGCAGCGGCGGAAGCATGAATGGGCCACGGTCTCAATATTAAAATAGTCTCAGAGGCCTCCTTTTAACAGAGTCCCTGTCCATTCAAGGACTTTCATAACCAACCCCATCATTAATTTATCGGCAAAGCCACTTACCTGAAATACACCGTGGTTGGTGTTCTGTCCAGCTCTGAAGTTTATTCATGAGAAAGAAAGACTGGGCCTAAGCCTAAAAATAGAGCAGCAACACTCAAGTAAATTTGCACCTCTGCTCCCCAGAAGCCTCAGGTATAACCTATTTTGAGAAGAGTTCAGCTTGAGGTGATATAGAAATTTAGCTTAGCAAGGAGCTCATTACTATCTGTAAAAATAGAATTAGCCCTTTCTCCCTGCAGCGCTACTGTTGGTCAGTTTGTTTGGTTTTGGTTTTTTGAGACAGGGTCTTGTTGTGTAGGTAAGGGTGTCACTGAACTCACTGTGTAATCCAGGCTGGCCACAAACTGTCGGCTATCCTCCTGCCTCAGCCTCCTGAGTGTTGGGGTTACACGCATGTGTCACCACACTGAGCCTATGTTCTGAAATCTTAACTCAGATCCTGTCCACCCTGCTTGAGACTTTTCAGTGGGATCTTGCAGCACTTGGGATGGACTCGAAATGCCTCCATAGGGCCTGGCAGGCCATGAGGGGCCTGGCCTGGGCCCTCCTGACTTTGCCATTGTGTTCAGGGATATTTGCTTTCTCTCAGGCCCTTCTATCTCCCAAGATCCTTCCCCCCCCACCGCCGCCCCGACAGCCCTTGGCTACACCTGCTTCCTGACGCCCCTGTCCTTCCAGCTGTTTGCTCTCACAGGCCAGGTCTTGGCTGGGACGTCATCTACAACTCCTGTCATTCCTCCCCTCCCCCCACAACATCTGTTGGACTCTTTCACAGTACACATTACACTAAACTGTAGTGCTTTCTCATGGCATCTTGTTCTGTCATTGATAAATTCTGTGAGACCAGGAACTCTGTTTACTTTATTCACTGATTCATTCCCGATGGAAAATATACCTACCGGCATATAGTAGATGTTTAATGAACTATTGTAGTGTGTTAAATGAATAATGAACAACAGACCAATTTATTTCTACCTTACTTAACCCTACCTCAGACTCCAAAACCTAGTTCAAGCATTGCTCCCAATTCCATCTCCTTTTGCCCTCCATAGAGTCTTCCTGGGCTTCCCACCCCTCAGAGTTTATAGACAAAGCACAGAAAGCACCCAAGAGGCTGCTGGGATAGAGCAGGTGCTCAGTAAACACAGCTGTCATGAGTAGGACCATACGCACATCTTCCAGTGCACTGCTGCATTTCTTACATGTCAGTTTTTCTCTTACCACACTCATAGTTTTTCCCATATTCCCAGTACTGTCCTCCTATTTTTGACGTAATGATTGTTTAACGTGACATTTTCCTTCTTAAATTGATGTATCTTTAAGGGAAAATTTACAGAAGAGGAAGTAAAAAGAAATGTGTTCTGCACATGCACTGACTCCACACAAGGAATGTAAACTTTATACTGCAAACATGGACTAATAAAAAAGAGTATGGCACTAAGATTTTAGTGACAGTGCTAGTGCAGCAGTTATCACTGTTCTCCATGACAGAGAGGTTGAAATGTTTTCCCAGCTGTCATTATTTAAAGCGATAACTATGTTCTTCCAACACCACCACTCCAGGTGCCATTCAGCTGTATCATACATTCACCAACCCTTTCACTCAGCATTTGTGACTCTCTCCCTTGACTTAGTAATTGCCTGTCTCTGTGACAGCTCAGCTCAGCTGTCTTAGTTCTCGTTACAACCTCCGCGGTTCTCTGGTTGATCCCTTGTGCAGAATGTATGTTTAATGCGGTCTAAGTTGAGCCTAATATTTAGACTTTGAACCAACATTATCAAAAAAGACAGTTTTCCAAAGTATTTCCAAAAGTAGGTTGGGGGAGGATATTTAGGAGGATATATTTTGCTGTCTTCTCCATCTGCCCTTCTAATTTCCCACAGATATAAACCTGAACACCTCGTCCAGGCCACTGTAATGAAATAGGGAGGAAAGAATTGGGAAGAATCAATGCAAGAAACGTGTTCCAATAAATCAGACCTGCATGTGCAAGCACCGCATTGTCTCACTAGTGTAAAGCCTGAAAGAGTTAATATAAACTCAGAGGTAAGACAGACATTGTGAAATGATAGGAAAGCACTCAAGGGTAAAGGGCAACTGGGATGTGGGAAAAGAGAAGGGAAAGAAGGATAAATGTTGTATGTATGTATATACAGGATAGTTAACACAGTTGTTCTACTGTCTTCTATTTCTTTGCTGAAAGAAACTGTCAATGAGTCCTTGATTGTTCAATATTGCATGTCTCTGTTTTCCTGAGAAACCACTTTGAAGATATCAATATGTAATACAGCAAGCATTGTTAATTTCCTACCACTTTGCTTGTAACTCTGTATTGTCTGTCCTGTTCTTTTGCTATTTTGTAAAAGGCTGTCTGTCTGTTTTAAAATAAAAAAATAAAATAAAAAAAAGAAGGGTGTTCCATACACACATGAATGTGCCTGGACAAACCCTTTAATTTCTCAGTAAAATAAAAACCCAAACAAACCTGAGAAAACTGAATGTGTGATTTATTATACTTAAGATTGGTCTATGAGGCTTAAACACATCTGTCAGAGTTAACAGCCCACAAATGCAACTTTACAAAATCGGTATCTCAGTACAGTACAGGACTAAATGCGGTACCTGTGCATTGGAAAATTACTATTTCCTCAATGCAAATATCCAATCTGCAGCCCCACTCAGAAGCTCCCACTAAAATCTCAAGCTGCAGTATTTATTACAAGCTCTACTCGGAACACAAGGCTACCTAAATCAAGCATGAGAGCAAAACAGTGGAGTCATTTAGGCTTACTATGTCAGATTGAGTACAGGACTAAAACGCTAAGGTTTCTTTAATGTCTTGGTTCAAATTAATAAATACAAACACAATATAAAAATATACACCAGGTGATAAGCCTGCGCCGCGTGCAGCTGGGAAGCTAAATCTCGCTCTCATACGTATGCAGGTATGTCTTGAGGGACAGGATTTCTGGGTAGCTGCGGCTGGTCTTCCGGAAGAAATCCAGACTGGTGAGCTGTTCGATGTCCCGCACCCGAGCTGTGTGCATCTTCATGAGCTCCTCCACCCATTTCGACTCGTCCTCTGAGCTCTGCAATGGAAACCAAGCAATCAGAGCCCAGTTTTGCAGGGGGTTTTGTGTAACAGTCACTGTGCACCAGGACCCCGTGTGACCTCTTTGGGCTTCGCACACTGAGCTGGGCCTGCTGCTCCCTCCTGAGCACCCCGTCCATCACCTCCCTGCGTTCCCACTGGGCAGCACCGCAAACACTGCCCTTGGCTGTAAACTTGCAGTGGGAATCAACTGCATCAAACAGATGAGACTTGTGTTCTCGAGAAGGCACGTTCCTCAATAGGCATGAATCAGAACTATGAAAACCAGAGAGCCTGAAAGAGTCAATAATTTGTTTCTTTTCCCAGCTGCTGAATGAGCCTGGATCACAGTAATGTGCGACACCTTCCACTTCCTGGGGAAAGGGAAGAGGTGGTTCTAGAGCATGCTCTCGGTTGCTCAGACAACCCCCAGGTCCACATCACCATCTGTTACATCAAAATACTCGCATCTTAGGAACAAGTCAGCCGGATGCAGCCCAGAGGATGCACTTGGCTTTGGCGACCCAAGAGGCAAGACTGGGCCACTTCCTGGCTAGACCCTCTGGTTATACTGCTTGACCTCTTGAGGCCTGGCATCTTTGTGGATTTCAAGGTGAACAATGCTTATTTCAGCAGCCCTCTGGGAGGGAGAGAAAAGAAGATAAAGAAGAAAGGAAAATATGGAACAGAAACCTCACAGAAGAAAGGAAGGCCAGGTGTGGCGGTGCACACCTGTAATCCCAGCACTCCAGAGGCTGAGGCAAGAGGATTGCTGTGAGTTCAAGCCCAGCCTGGGCTACACAAGCGAGTTCAAGGCCAGCCTGAACTGCACAGTGAGATCCTGCTTAGAGAGAAAGAAAAGAAAAACAAAGAGAAAAAGAAAGAAAGAAAGAAAGAAAGAAAGAAAGAAAGAAAGAAAGAAAGAAGATAGCAAGAAAGAAAGGAAAAGAGAAAAGAGAGAAGAGAAAGAGAGAGAGGGAAAGAGAAAGAAAGAAAGAAAGAAAGAAAGAAAGAAAGAAAGAAAGAAAGAAAGAAAGAAAGAAAGAAAGAAAACTTCTTTTTGTCTTATTTGCTGAAAATGGTCTAGGCACAGGCAGAAGAAATTCAGATGCCCCCCACCATCAATTTACTTCATGACCAGCTTGAGCCTAAATGGTAACTCCAGTGAAACAGGCCTTTGTGTCTCAAAAATCCATTCTTTCATTGTGGAGGGGAGCTGGGGGGAAAGCGAGGGGCTGGGGAGCCCTGCGCGTTAGGAAGAAGTCACCGCTTGTGTGAGCAGACACGGGACAGGAAGGGCTGCACAGGGGACTCTGCTCCCAGTTGCATTCTCTGCCCCCCAAAGAGTCTTTCTGGAGGCCGAAGTGCAGCTGCGCAGCCCAGGGCTGAGACGGTGCAGGTGGGCCCCGGCCCAGCTCTCAGCCACCAGTGGCCTCGGCAAACCATCTGCCACAGCCCGGGACCCGCGAAGGTTTCTCAGAAAGCTCCAGCCCACGCCGGGCAGCATGGCAGGTTGTGCCAGGCCAAATAGGGTATTGCTTTGGGAAGCTGACGCCTGGCCATCCCAGGCAAGAGGAAGAAATGGGGAGAAACTGCTTTACACGCTGCAGAATGAAGGCATTAGCCTTCCACGCCCCACCCTTCTACCCAACCTGACCAAGACCTCTGCAAGCCCCAGGAAAGACCTAAGTATAACCCTCCCCACAGCGGGACTGACCAGTCCTCAGAGGGACCATGCAATTAACCAAGTAGGAGGTCTCCACATGAGGCAGGAGACCGCAGAGCAAGGGAGGTTGGATCTAGGGAGAATTTTCACATTCGGCTCATCTGTTTGATTTTTTGCAATGGTCAGTCAGTCCAAGTTTTCCTTTGTAAATGCAACCATTGGAATATGTGGTCAGCAATGAAAATAATTTTCCTAATTTAAATCACGGCATGCTGGGGTTGTAAGAATTCAGGGGAGGAAAATCTGTCCTCTGCTACTTCTTTCTTTGGGAAGTGATTTGTTAGTTTTACTGGAGGGGCATTTTCTTCTGGTTCTCAAACGCTAAAACATGATCTCTGATTTATTATTAGGAAATACAGGCAGTGGTGCACATGAAGAAAATATGTTCTGTCATGATGTTAGCTGGCCATCCATAGAAGTAATTGTTGGTGGAGGTGGGTGATGATGAAAACTAACAAAATTATAATATAAGTTAGTGTGCACCAAGGTCAGAAGGAAAAACTTTAAAAACAAATAGCCAGGGGTGGTGGTGCATGCCTGTCATTTCAGCACTCTGGGAGGCTGAGGCAGGAGGGTTGCAAGTTCAAGCCCAGCCTTAGCAACTTATACATGTATTTGGAGAGAACAGACATAGAGAGCTATGCTTACAGGGTGACTACATGATTAGAAGTACTGTAACACACACAGAGGACCTGCAGTGCTTGGATTACAGAATGTACTCAATGTAAACTTACTAATGCTTCTACCTTAAAGTTTGATTCCAAGCAATGTTTAAAATGTTCTCTCCCACTACTGCCCTCGATTCCAGTATTCTATACACATCTAACTAGCTGTTCTGCATCCTTTCTTTTGCTCTGAATACTCATAGCCCCCACCTCCACCCGTCACTGAAGCCACTGTCCAAGAGCCCCGTGGCCCTCGAAGCCGACAATCTCCACCTACGCTATGCTTCAACGGCAGCGACTTCTCAGCCCACGGTATCTACAGCCACACACTGCAGCTGCCTGGGAGCAGGGGTGGCATCTAACACACACTAGCCCTTCTCCCGGAGCAGCTCCCACAGTTTACATATTTTAGTACAGTTCGGTAACTGACAGTATCCCCTGGAGATACAACCCTGCTCCTTCTATTATGGAAACAAAAGCCTGGAGACCCCAACCTCCCCGGTCAAACTTGCAGCAAGGACTCTCCTTCGCATGAAGGATGCTCGAAGCCACTCTGTGCCCTGGGCCCGAGCGCTGAGTTAGTACAGGGCTGAGCTGGCACAGGGCTGAGCTCATAGTTCGCTTCCCTTCTTCCAGCAGAGCCTTTCTCCATCCTCATCCGCGTCGCGCGGGGGCGGGAGGAAAGGGCTCACATCCGGGCGGGGAAGGAGTGACGGCTGCGCCTCGCAGCAAGCAGCGGAGATGACCTGATTGTCGAGGTCTTTCTCCCCGCTCTCTTTCTCTGTCTCTCCCTCGCTGTCTCTTTCCCTAAGGAAATTTTCAAACATCCCCAAGAGCAGTGAGACGAATATAAGGAGCTGCTTTGAACTCTCACTCTGCTCCAACCATGATCAGAACCATACTGCTCTCTATCTCCTCCTTACAAAATATATATCCCTCTTATCAAACTAAACGCACGCTCAGTCACTGGTCAAAATCAAACACCCACATGTGTTACGCATGCACGCACAGACACACATGCACTGAAAAACAAAGGGCCACTAGAGCAACGAGTTCCGCCTTCAAGACAGTCCTGCTGGGCCCTGTCTTCTTTCCACTTTCTTGGGCCATCCAATCGCTCCCTAGTGAGCGTGTTCCAGCTCTGTGGGGGGAACAGAAACTAAGAAACGAGCACTAGCCGTCACGGGACATGCTGACTCACATTGCAGCTCTCGTCGTTGTCGGGCCGGTGGGGCAGGATGAAGGAGGACACGGACAGGGGCCCGTCGCACTTGTCGGCTGGCTGCGTGAAGTCCAGGCAACTGGTGAGGATGCTGTAGTAATGCGTGGGCACCGGAATGGAGCTGCCTTCCACGTACCTGGGAAGGAGGGGAGGGTGAGGCTGCGGGACACGTGAGTGCTGTCTTGTGCGAGAGGTGGCTAGGGACAGGCGAGTCCCTCCAGCTCCTCTGCACCCCACTCTGTGATGCGCTCCCTTCTCAGTGCCCGACCCCTTCTGTGTCTTTGACTGTGTTTTCTCTGCCTGGACCCCATTCCCTTCCTCCAGCGGGCAGGGAGAAGGCTGCTCCAAGCCAATAAAATGGCTCGATCCAAGAGCTGGAAGCACGAGATGGTGAGAGGAGCGATGCTGCAGAGATGAGGCTGGAAGAGTGAATAAAAGAGCGAACAGAAGACAAAAGTGAGTCCTGCGTGCTGGGTGTGGGGTCCAGGCATGACTGCGAAGGCGGGAGTGCGCTTCTGAGGGCTTCATGATAAGGAGCGGCAGCACGAGACCCACGCTGCAGGAAGACAACGTTCACAGTCGTGGAGGATGGAGCAGAGCCAGGAGCTCCTGGGTGTAGGGGGCCAACTGCCTTTTCAAACTGCAGTGGGACCCTGAACGTGGTGCACAGAACTCATTTGCCAAACAAACTGCTAAGAACTGAGCTCTGGTGATGACCTTAGGGGCATGACAAACCCTCTTCCAATCGAGTAAAATGTATTTTATCAGTTATCTTCCTTTAAATAGTGTTTTACTCACTAAGTATATGTCTGCAAATCACAATTAAACCATCTCTTCCACTCTGTACTGTGCTCCGCCTGTTTCAGGCAAGTGTAAAGTTAAAGCGCAACTTACTCCGACTGTGTTGTATGTGTGTCTTTTCGTCTCCTTCACTAACTATGAGTTCCCTGTGAGCAGGTGTTCGCCTACCCATTTATATCCCCAACAGCACCAAGGAGAGAGACAGAAACACAGACTCCAGCAGTGTATTTCCTCATGAGGGAGAAAGACTCGGGAAATACAGAACAGTCTAACAGTCTCCCCCACACGATGGGGTTAAATGGAAAATTTCCTTTCATCAGACAATTGTTAAAAAATAAATGAGAAAATTTAAATAGTTTCATACATTTTCTTTCATGGGATGGAAAATTGCACTTACTTACCATGGAACTTGAAATTCCATTCCATCCCCAATCTTGTATTTAATCAAAGACTCAAAGAAGGGACGAATTTAAAAAGAGATTTAAAGAAAAAAAAGGTTTAAGAGATACCAACTGTTCTGTAGTACAGGAATATTTTTGAAAACCTTTCGGGGGTGTCTTGGAATTTTAACATCATACACTGAACGCAAATGAATAGCTTACTGCTTGATCTTGTCCTCTGGGTCATGTAGGCCATCGTAGTCATAATCAAAAATGGGTCCGCTTATCACATTAACTCCATTTCTTTCTGAAGCGTATTTCTTCACTAATACTCTTTGGAAATAATTCCATACTCCTGTGCAAAGACAGAATCAACTCTTCATGAAAAAACTTGCTTCAGTGAGATTCTCTCAAGAGTGCATTGTACAAGCCAAATGTCACAATCCCGGAGACAATAGGGCTTTTGTGACTCAAGAAAAGACTCCATTCTAAAGCATTATCTGTGTGTGCCATTTCTGACCCAGCAAAGGGAGCGATTTGGAGCTCGGAGACAATGGAAGGGGAGCTCAGCCTAGTCCAATAAATCAGGGGAGGATTCCCAGACAAGGTCATTGAGCTGAGGTCCGCAGGGGGGATGAGTGGGTGTTTCCTAGGCAAACGGGTGGGGGCAGAACACGCCAGGCGGAAATGCTGAGCACAAAGAGCAGCGTGGGGTTTCTGAGCAGCGGCGCAGAGGCCTTTTTTACTGCTCTTCCGTTCCGAGCTCCTCGGCGGGGCAGCTCCCAAGTCTGTCTGCAGCCTGAGCCTCCCACAGAGATGCAGCTGTGTCACCCAGCCGCCGTCCCATAAGCCACTCGGACACCTAACTGGCTCATCAAACGGAACACTGCTCCGTCAGATTCTCCACCTCCCTTCCCCGTCGTGCCTGCCCCCTCCCTCCCCATCCCAGTTCACAGCACACCCGTGCACCCAGGTGTCCAGGACAAGGCCAAGGCCTTGGCCCTAACTTCTTTCCGTGCCCGTGGGACAGGTGGTGTTGGTGTTGTCCCCCTATCATCCCAGCCACTCTATCTGGCATCATTTTCACTGCTGCCATCCCATCCTAAGCTCCCATCCATCCATACCCCAGACAGGAGCCACCATAGACAGCGACTTCCTGGCTTCCCAGGGGAGGCGCTCACCTTAGTCCATGTCCCATGTAGCAGACAAATGGAATCTCTACACCATAAATCAGATCACAGCACACTCACACTCACACACACACACACATACGTGCACACCCATTTCTAATGTTCCACATGCTTTCTCACTATAATTAAAATAAAACCTCCAGTCCCACTTATAGCCCTTATCTCCTCTCTGATTTTACTTCCTACCCTTCCCCACCTCCAGAGCAAGCCTTTCCTCCTGTCCTCCAGCCTGGCCAAATCTGTTCCAGCCCAAGCTCTTGCATTTTCTCTTCCTTTACCTAGAAAATTCATCTCCTGGCCTGTGGGTATCTGTTCTCCCTGCTTTCAGTGTCACCTGAGGTCCTCCTCACCCACCCCTGCAGAGTGCATGCAGGCCAACCAGAGGCGCAGGAGAGGCCGGGACAGAAGAAGAGAGGGCAAAAGAAGCACAGCAGAGGGCGGGAAAGGCAAGCAGGGAGTCGGCTTGAGCATGAGGTCCGACCCACCACAGCTGTCCGACGGGCGAGTGGGGTTCTGGCCACTTCCACCTCTCCTGCCCCTGCTGAGAGCACTTGGCCACTTTGCCCACAGTGCTCCCCGCCCCAGACCTTCTCATACCCTACTGTGAACGAGGCCCGCAAAGCAGCCCGCCAGAGACAGATCACCTTGGATCGTTACTCGCACGACGGAAAGGACAGCGAGCAGAAGACCAAACGTTAACTTAAGGGGGAAGGAGGAAGGGACAGCGAGAGGAACAGAAACAACAATGAGAACAGTCAAAAGGCCAAACCCACAGAACTGCTGGATGTGGAAAAACCATTCCCCCAGCGAAGAACAGCAAGCTCTCTGTGAAAGGCCTTCTCCACACCAGCCTCGGGGTGGTACCATGTGTTTTCTTTATTACTGTTTGGTCAGAAAATGCATCAACAAAGAATAAAGAGATCCAGGAAACCCTGACTGGGGGCAATTAAATGAAGTTGCATTCCATGTAACATTGTGATGAATGTACTAACCAGGACACCACATAAACATTTTTGTCCCCTCTAAACCTTGTGAGCCATTTCACCAAGGTTAAGCTGGGGAGGCTGCACTGTCACGGACAGTTGGACTCACTTGCTCCTGATCTGAGACCTCTGTTCAGCCCTGAAAGTCCTATATGCTAGCCCAGCCCTCCCTGCCCTGTCAAGTTAGGGAGAAACGCTTCCTTGTGTGACCTGTCCCACAACACAAAGGAACTAAAAGGAGGAAAATGCTATTCAAAAATGCTTTCTCTATTTGTGAATACACGGATGCATGGGCAGGTGGATGGGTAGATGGATGGAGAAAAGGATGGCAGGATGAGTGGGTGGGTGGGTGGGTAGATGGGTGGATGGATGGATGGACAGATGGATGGATGGATGGATGGGTTTATTTTTACTATGAGAAATATAAAATAGATTGTTTTGGTCACTGGAAACTTAGGTCACAGATTCATATAAAATAGAGAGGTCATGCAATAAAAAACCCTTAATTTTACAAGGGACGGGGTAAATGGCATTTTTATGATTACACACACAATGGTCACAATTCTAATAACTAGAATTTGGTTTTTTGGGTCAGAGCTTATTGTGCTTACACAGTGTATAGACTTGGATAAAAACATTATGCCATATATAAATAAATCATGTATTCCAAGAGACTAAGTAATAATTCTCACAGTCCCAAAATCATCTAAAATTAATGTTCTCATGAATCAGAAAGCCCTGTTAGCTCTCACCAGACTTCAAGACTAACATTCAGAACATGTGATCACCCCTTAGGAGAGAGGTGTTAGTGGCTTTTGTTGAAATATTCAATGAATAAATACAGATGCTGTTATATGACAAGTGACCTCTAAGACTTGGTGGAAATAGTGAGCATTAAAATAGAAAGAACTGCAAGTTAGAAGAAAAACACAACCATGGTCTAGTTCAGCTTCTGCCATTCATGACCCAGGCGACTTCTTGTGATGTCAGTGTCTCAATTATAAACAGCTTCCCTCACAGATTCAAATTTGAGGTCGACAGTAGTGAATGTACATGAAAGCTCTTCACAACATACAATGGTTAAATACATGAAAGGTGTTATTATTATTAAAATCAATATAGAAGTAGAAAAGGTAAGTGGTAAACTTAGAAACATTTATTTTCATAAGTCACCGTTTATTAGGTAAATATTGGACTTACGTTTAAAAGCAGGGTACATTGGCACCATATTGGTTACAAGGAATGCATCATATTTAGCTTCTGGTGAAGAGCTCAGATCTAAGCATTAGGAAAACAAATAGTGTCCATTGCTTTAGCAGAATCTCCATCCACAGAAAAACAGTCTTCCAGAATGGTCCCAACCATATAAAATGAATGATCTATTCTTCTACTCCTCCTCTAGACTGTTCCTACTCCCCTCACACTTACCTTTCTTTCCACTGAGTTCTTCAGTCCACTAAGTACTTTGTAAGACCGTCCCTCAATTCCATCAGCACAGCTTAGCTTTAAATAGTGTCATCCATCAAGACAAGGGGAGTGAGTTAAAGGGCTCCAAAAGAGCGGATGGCTTAGTGACTTTCTTTCAGATTCTCAATGGAGGGTGCGAGGAGGTACATGGGAGATTTCCTTGCACTTTAGAATTCCCCTGGAGAGCTGGATTTTGTTAATTTGGTCATTTTGGGGGCAATTCTGGGAGAATCTCATGGAAACCACCTCTGCAGGGTCTCGGGTGCCCTTCTTGAAGAAAAGCTGAGCCTCTGATAGCCTGATGAACCAAGCTTCACATCCCCAAATGCACAAACCAGTGCCCAGCAAGCAGACACTCGGTGACTTACAGGGCGGGAAGAGGAACCCGTAGGACATCTGCTTGTCGTTTTTGTAGGCCAGGCAGGTCTGACTGAAACCTGGAGAGACTCGGACATCGGGGCGGACACAGCTGCTCAGGTGCTCGGGGAGAACAGAGACCTCAGCCTGCACGGGGGTCAGAGGCGATTAGCGACCCCACCACAGACACCAGGACAAATGCCAGGGCCAGGGATGTATGGATGCCAGGTTGTTCTGTCCTCTGTAGCCCTGCCGTTTGCACTGTGGCTCCTGGTCTGATACTCTCTGACTCCTTATATAAAAGTCACTAGATTTAAATACAACAAACCAGTCATTTTGAAACTCCTATTTCTTAGTAGCAAAACTCTTTTATAAAGCCTCGAGTAAAACAATTTATAATAGCTTGTGACAAATCCAACGGAGAATTTGTTCAATCAGGAAACATGAAGATTTATTTTCTAGGATAAAATTCTGTCAAGCAAGCAGTCATCAAACTGCGGTAATAACTGTAATGAAAGGAAGAATATAAAACCCAGTTTTCTGAACAACCTGTTTGGAAACGGTGTACGAAGTCCAAAGAGGCATCAGGAATATTTCACTGTAACCGCTTTCAAAGTCAGTGTGATATAAGATATCATATCTGGTCCGGTAAAGGACTGCAGGTCGCCCGTACAGGAGATGTCTCTCTAGGAAAGAAAAAAATAACAATAAATTGTGTTAAATGGGTCATTAATGTTACATCAAATGTTAAAGAATTATTGGAAGCATCAAGCTGTCTAGAAATCAGCTAGCTCACTTATTCCTGACATAGCACATTCTCCTTAATTTAATCAAGTATTTTCCAAGCAATTGGGAGGTATATCTGATCATATAAGAACAGGTCAAAAATTGCAGTAATCCGAGCTATACTAAATGTCCTACTATATTAATGCTCTTTCAGTGTAAAGAAATTTAAATCTGCATAAAAGGAAACATATAACAAAATGTGAAAAGATTCAGCTGAGTGAAATACCAAGAGGACTGGGTTTTTGTAGAATTAAATCGTCTGACCCTTGAGGAGCTGTGTTAGGTAAACTGGTGATTTACTTATCTCCCATTACTTGCAAGCTGCCACATAAATATGCACCGTTTCAGCCTACAAAGTGAGTAGTAAGCAAGGGGCTTTGTCATGGGGAGCTCAGCTCCTTGGGTAGGAACTCAAAGGAGCACGTACAGGTAACGTAAGTGGACATTCAGGAGGGCTCTTTATATCCCAAACAGAGAGGTCCATCCTTTACCAAAGAACTCGCTTAAGACCCCCAAGTGCAGTGCCAGATCGGCCATGGGAAGCTCTCCTCTTGGGGAAAAACAAAGGCCTGAAATCTTACAATTAGTAGGAATATGCAAACCTTCATTCCTGAATAAGCTAAAACTTCCATAGGTTCTTGGAGATTGGGGGTCCCTACAGATCAAAATATTTAGAGATTGAGGTTCAGGCAATTCAGGAGTTCCTAAGTGATAAAAAACCTTTTTAAATTCTTACTTTTATTAGAAAAACCCAGTTCTGGCAACTACTTATTAAATCATGTATACATGTTGCTTTCATGAAAGTGTTATCACTCTGTGCAAGTAATGGAGAAGACCTTGCATGGAACACTTCTCGAGACCCTCTCAAGTAGAACTGTTGGTCTAGGCAGCTAACACGCGGTATTACAACACCAGCCTTCCTAGGGGGTTCGGCCTCCTCAGCACTGCGATAAATGCACAAGCTTTGCTCAAGCTGCCAAATTTGGGGGCCTGTCCCTAAGGATTAGACTGTAACACAACAATATGAAATAAGACCTCCTATCCCTCCCTTTCTTCTGTGTTTTCTCTTAGCACTGAGCACCATTTAACACACCATATATTCTCCTGATTTATTGTCCTTCACTGTTATTAGACAGTATAATCCCCTGGAAGGCAGAGATGTGTGTTTTACTCTGTTCCCTGCTGATCCCCTAGGACTGAAGCCACCTCCTCTCTAACAAAGAAAACAGAGTATGTGTGTTCAGCAATGGAACAGGAGCTGGATTTATCTTTGTTTATTAGCACGCATTTGCAGTACATAGTGATCATATTCATCCCAGGATGACTTAGGATCCCAAATCCTAATTTTTTTTTACTTTCTTTTGTCTTCCCCTCCCTCCCCGCTTCCATCTCTAGTTCCCCTTCCTATTTACAGAGGATCTGTTTTCCTATTTCCTATTATCTATCTTTTATTTTGCTCATTAAATTATTTACAGTTCAGGTTTCTCATATAATAGAAATCTTGTCTCCTGCCTCATAGGCCCCCAGAGGGAGGGCCTCTGGCACATGGGGAGTCCCGGGTAGGGAGCACCGGTCTTCCGGCCGGCTCACTTCCTGCCTCATAGGCCCCCCGGAGGGAGGGCCCCCAGGGCACGGGGAGCCATGCAGCTGTGAGCACTGTTGCGCGCCGGCCTTCAGGCTGGCCGCCGCTGCTCAATTGAGAACTATCATGACACAGAGAAACAATGACACAATTGGCCCACCATGCACCGGCTGCAGATGCCCACCCATGGACGTGTGTGAATCATTCAAACATGGAAAAACCCCTGGGAATACATGCCATACAATGGGCCACTCTTGCTCCTGCCATTGAGAACCAGAAAGGTCCAGAGTCCGCAGAGGAACAGCTGCTGAACAAGGACTCAGAGAACATGAGAATGCAGACTAAGCCCGAGGGGTCAGAGGTCCTGTGGACTGGGGTCATGAGAGCCACTTGGAAGCTGTAAACCAGGAGGGCCTTGCACAATACATGTGGAGACTCCCTGGAAACCATTCTTCCCCTGACAGTACAGGCTGTGGTGGAGCTCCGGAGAAGTCTGCAATAGGATTCCTGCTGCCTGTGCTGACAGTTGGGGAGAGGACACTAACTGGCTGTGGGGTCCCAATGCAATGGGAGGCTGGAGAGAAAACACTACAAAAAATGGCTTTGGCCCCAGACAGCTCACTTGATTTTTGACAACCCTTAGGCTGTAACTACTTGTTAGATCCTTCTTGAGTATCTCTGTCTTCCTGAGAAACCACTTCTAAGATACCACCATGTATTACAGCAGTCATTGATATTTTCCTACTAATCTATCCATAACTCTGTAATGTTTGTATTGTTCCTATCCTATTTCATCAATGGATGCATATCTATTATTATGTGTTTCCTACAACAACCATTGAGAATAGCTAATGATTATTCAATAGGTCACTCATGTATAGTTCTATTTATTTTCTTTTGAAGATACCTAAGTAGAGTACAACAACTATTGATAATCTCCTACCACTTTTGTCTGTAACTCACTATTATTTGACTATTTGTTTTCCTGAGAAACTATCTTGTAGATAACAATATGTAAAACAATAACCATTGATAATTTCCTACCACTTTGTCTGTAATTTGGTAAGCCCCCCCACATTATTGTTATCCTTCTTTTACTCTTTAAAATTAAAAAAATATATATGAAATAAGTTAAATTTAAGAAACAAATGAGAAAGCAGCACTTGGAGGCAGTCAAGCAACCTAGACCTTCCTTCAAAACTTGAACAAGACCTTTCCCAGGTTCAAAATTTCCATTCATGTTTTCCTTGTTTTCATTTTTGCTGCCTCTGAATTTCCTGGTTTCAGTAGGAAGCAGAAGTATCAGAATTTCTTGAGAAGCTCTTCTCTCTTTATCATGCAAGTTTTAATGCTTACTGAGCACACTTCTCCAAACGCAAATTCCAGCCTCCCACCATATAGGGAACAAAACAGCAACCACACTTCACATGCAAAACCCTCCTTAAAGTGGCCACCAAGCAATAATGTGAACGATCTGCAGTCTCCACCGACTCTGCTCTTTCTTCCTAGTTTCCTCTTTTCTTGGCATTCCTCAGTGCAGCACTCCTTTCCACAAGGGCTGGTTTACTGACAGCGTCCTTCACACCATCGCTGTTAGCAGCTCAGTCACATTCTGCATTCCTTTCCCTCCACCAGCAATAACCTTTCCAGTCTTCTTTGCCAATTCTGCCACTTCTCTTTTCCCCAGTTCAGCCACTAACACATTCTTCCCACCAGACAGTTCCTGGGAACTTTCTTTGTGCCGGGCTTTGAGCTGCAGGATGTAGGTAGCGGGCAAGATGGACAAGACAGTCCTTACCCATGAAGAACTCACAGTCCAGGGGGAAAGATGAACGTGGCCTCAATAACCAGCACACAACATGGTCTGCCCTCCATCAGAGCTGTCTGTGGGGCGTGATGGGAAGCAGAGGGTGACCAGTGTCATAAATGGGGTGAGATGGCACCAGTGGTATCCTTTGCAGAGCAAAGGAAATTAAGCCAGGGTGACAAGGCATCCCGTGTATGCCCGTGGCCCTGGCATAATTGTTAATAACACCCACTTCATACTCAAAGTGTGTGAGAAACAATATGGTCACAGAATTTGGCCATTGTGGAAGAGGCATGAGGAAGACAGGGACAGGAAGCACAAGACTGCCAAGACGTCTTCAGATCTGCTTTCTTCTGAAGTGTTTCCCCCGTGAAACTTCTCTGGCTCTATTGCTCTGTGAGTATTGACTCAGTTCACTTCAGAACTTTGGGCTTTTAGATTCTAAACTATTGACCCAACTACAGTTTTTGGAACGGGAGCTGGAGCACAAATATATATTATTATCTGATTTGCTTTTTTTCAGTCATTATTGGGCATAAGAAAAAATACAGTGGTTTTGACAACCCCCTGAAACACAACCAAGATCCCCAGCTGACCCTCTCCTCCCACCCAGAATTTTTAAAAACCACCTGGTCTTGCTAGTTTCATGGTTTCACCCAAAAAAGAAGCAAAATAATCTTCGCAGTGAGAGACACACATTTCAAGGTCCAGAATCAAAATTTAGGTTTTACTTTTTGAGTTTATCAAGTATCAAAGAATCACAGATCTTCTGACATAGCCTGACTCCAGTAGTCTATATGACCTCCTGGGTGGGCCACAGGTTGCGTTTCTGTTTAGAAGGAATCCCTACTCCAGCCAAAATCTGTCTTTACATGTGTATGATCCTTATCTCAGAGCCCAGCCTGAGCTCTCTGTTTTGGCAGGATGTTCCTGTGATTTCTTTTTTATTTTTTCCTCCAGTAAGTGATTCAATGTAAGTAACTAGAGTGCCCACAGTTTTTAATATTTACCTTTGAAGATCTTCCAAATTTCTGATACAATAATTATACAGTGTGCGGGGTACAGTGACATTCCAATACGTGTGTACACTGTAATGATCATCAGATCGGCGTGATTGGTATACCAGTCACCCAAACATTTATCATATCTTGGTGTCAAGAACATTCAATACTCTCCTACTAGCCATTTTGAAATATCTACTTAATTTTTGTCAGCTGTAGTCGCCCTACTATGTGGCAGAACATTAGACGTTAACCCTCCTTCCCTTCCCACTGCACCCCAGGCCCTCGAGCCGTACCCTCTCTAGGACGTTCTCACACGGTCAGGCTGGGCTCTTACAGACTCCCAGACAGGGCTCCTTCCACGCCCTCCAGCCCTGTTTACAATGGAGTCTCTGGCACCCTGCTCCACGCCAAGGTTCTCCTCCAAAGACCACACTTGGCAAAGTACTGTGAGACAAGCCCTTTTAAGTGGTGTGGACTTCCCTGGCACTCGCTCCTTCTGTCGTCCAA